CAGCCCTGGTGGCCAACGGCTTCCTGGCCCTGGACGTGGCCGCCAACCGACTGTGGGTGACCCCCGGGGAGCGGGAGCCCGCCGTGGCGCCGGACTTCGTGCCCTTCGTGCAGCTACGCCCGTTGAGCGCGCTGGCCGAGGCTGGAGAGGCGGTGCTGCTGCTGCGGGAGGGGCTGCTGCGCCGAGTACGGTGCCTGCAGCTCGGGGCCCCGGGGTCCGGCCCTGCGGCCGCCGTCCCCGGGCCCGCCTCGGCCTCCGGCCTTGTCGCGGGGTCCGGCCGTGACTGTGTGCTGCTGCAGGAGGACTTTCTGGCGCACCGGGGCCGACCCCACGTCTACCTGCAGCGCATCCAACTCAACAACCCCACGGAGCGCGTGGCCGCGCTGCAGACTGTAGGGCCCACCGCAGGCCCGCTCCCCAAGGCTTTCACTAGCACCCTGGAGAAGGTCGGAGACCATCAGTTCCTCCTCTACTCAGGCCGGTCCCCGCCTATTCCCACAGGGCAGGTGCACCTGGTGGTGGTGGCTGCCAAGAAGCTAGTGAACCGGCTCCAAGTGGCTCCCAAGACGCAGCTGGACGAGACGGTGCTGTGGGTGGTGCATGTCTCGGGGCCCATAAACCCCCAGGTGCTCAAAAGCAAAGCAGCCAAGGAGCTCAAGACGCTCCAGGACTTGGCACGGAAGGAGATGTTGGAGCTCTTGGAGATGCCGGCCACAGAGCTGCTCCAGGACCACGAGCAACTCTGGGCTCAGCTCTTCAGCCCAGGTGAGGCCAGCGAGTGCTGGCTCCACAGTCCACCCCAGAGTTGTTTCTCCAGGGTCTGCAGAGGTGACACTGTAGTGGTAGCAGCGTGGTTAAAACTTGGACTTGAGTCAGACGTGGTGGCTCAAGGCTGTCATCCCAGCACTTTGGGAGGCAGAGGCAAGAGGATTGCTTAAGCCCACGGATTCCAGACCAGCCAGAGCAATGTAGTGAGACCTTGTCTACAATAAATCACACTTGGTGGCGCACACCTGCAGTTCCAGCTATTTGGAAGGCTAAAAGTATCACCTGAGCCCAGCAGGTCGAGGCTGCGGTGCTGGTTAGCATGCCACTGCACTTCAACCTGAGTGACAGAGTGAGACCCCAACTCAAAAAAAAATAATAATAAATAACTTGGGTTTGGCATTTAACTGGGCTCAATCTCTGCTCAGCCACTTAGTATCTGTGTGACCTTGGATTAGTTGCCTAATCTCTCTCTGCCTGTATTCAATAGTAATAATAACACCAACCTCAGAGGGCTTTTATGAGATTGTAGTGAAAACTTGAGTGTAAAGGTCAGGTCTTATTGGTATTTGTTCTTGTAGGTGAGGCCTGATTTGACAGAGTGAAGTTTTTTAGGGTCATTTTGTAGAGGTTAAACCACCAGGCAGATCCCTAATTCTTTCCTCAGTTCACCACTGGCATGGTGTGGGCTTCTTGACATGACCCCAGCTAGGCTCAGGGGTGCCCTGGCAGCCTGTTCACAGGGAAGGTTGGAGAATCTCTTCTTGCAGTTTAGAATATTCCTGCCACATTGAGACTTCTTTTCCCAGTTGACTGTTTAAGAAAAGCAAAACCTCTTCTGGATGAGAGGGCTTTTGGGTTTCAGAGTCTTCATTGTCTGAACCCTTATGATTGATTGCTTGGAGAGAGTTTAGTTCATTCAACAAGTATTCCCTGAATGCTTCTGCCAGGGGCAGTTTGTTTAAATTCTGGTGGGGAGGAAGACAGAAAAGTGAGAATGTAAACAATGCAGATTTTTTTTTTTGAGTTGGAGTCTTACTTTGTCACCCAGGCTGTAGTGCTGTGGCACACTCACAGCTACTGCATCCTCCACCTGCTGGGCTCAGGCGATCCTTCCATCTCAACCTCCCAAGTAGCTGGGACCACAGGCATGTGCCAACACACCTAGCTAATTTGTTGATTTATTGTAGAGACGAGGTCTCGCCAAGTTGCTCAGGCCGTCCTCTCACCTTGGCCTCCCAAAGTGCTGGGATTATAGGCATGAACCACTGTGCCCAGCCTCTTTTTTATTTAAAGGCAAGGTCTCACTCTGTTTCCTATGCTGGAGTACGGTGACATGATCAAGGCTCACCGCTGCCTCTACCTCCTGGGCTCAGGTGATCCTCCCGCTTCAGCCTCCCAAGTAACTGGGACTCCAGGTGTGTGCCACTCCACCTGGCTAATTTTTTGATTTATTGTAGAGACGAGGGCTTACCAAGTTGCCCAAGCTGGTCTCGAACCCCTGGGCTCAGGCAGTCCTGTCCCCTCAGCCTTCCAAAGTAAGTGCTGGGATTACAGGCATGAGCCACTGCACCCAGCTTAAGGTAGCTTTTTAGAATAGAGAGTGCTATGGAGAGAAGTTATGGGATGGAGGGTGACCCAATGTGGCCCCAGTGACTGGAGTGGGGTTAAAAATATTGGGTGGTGGAGCCTCGGTTCAGCTCCAGTTAACTGGGAGACCTCTCTGAGGAGGGGACACTTAATGAAGCTGAGACCCTCATGGCAAGAAGAAGCCAGCCATGTGACCTGGGCAGAGGCTGAGATCTAAAGGCAGGAATAGGTTTGGTGGAGTGGCTGGAAGGGGCGTGGTGAGAGACAGGATCAGACTGGGAGGGTGGCTGTATCTCCAAGGACCTTGCAGCCATCCTTGATGAGGCAGTGAATCTTACCCTAAGACAGATGGGAAGCAGGGTGGAGGCTTGATCTGAAGTAAATATTTAAAAGATTTGCCAGGCAAGGTGGCTCTCCTGTAATCCTAGCAATTTGGGAGGTGGAGACAAGAGGATTGCCTAAATCCCGATCAGCCTGGGCAACTTGGTGAGACCTCATCTCTACAATAAGTCAAAAAATTAGCTGGGCATGATGGCATGTGCCTGTAGTTCCAGCTACTTGGAAGGCCAAGGTGGAAGGATCGCCTGAGCCCAGCAAGCCAAGGCTACGGTGGCCATGAGCCTGGGTGACAGAGTGGGACTCCTACTCAAAGAAAACCAAAAAAAAAAAAAAACCTCCCTGACTGCGGCATGCAGAGAGTAGACTGTTAGGAGGCAAAAACAGATGTGTGGGGCCAGGGGAGAGGTTTTTGCAAGAGCTCAGATGAATGTGGTGGGAACCAGATCTGTGACCCTGGAGACTGAGAAGTGGGTGAATCCTGATGCTTTTGGAGATGGGGCTGCTGGGACTTACTGTGGATTGGCTGGGGTGGGGTTGGGAGGAGAGACCATGAGAATGTCTCCTGGCTTCAGGGGACTTGAGTGGTTGCTGGGTGACAACTTGGGGAGAACTTGGTTTGGGGCTGAAAGAGTTCAAACCCTGTTGGGTTCCAAATGGCCTGTCAGATGTCCAGGTGGAGACACCCAGCGGGCAGTTAGCAGTGAGAGTCTAGAGTTCATATAAGCTTGAGAGTATTCATGTGACACCTGATGTATGTATATGGTATACCTAAACCCATACATGTTTGGGAGGTATCATTTCAGGCCTCAGGACTGGAAGGAACAGTGACCCGAGACTGGGCAGGGCATTGATAACTATCCCCGCGTAGGGGGCCAGGACCAGGGGCTGGTGCCAAGTCCTGCCTAAATCTGTTCTTGGCCTTGGCAGGAGGCCTTGGCAGAAGTCTTAGGTTTCGGGCCCACAGGCTCAAGTGGGTGAACGAGACAAGCTACCTTTCTCCTGGACTTGAGGGAGACATTAGCCACTGCCTTCACCAACAGAGCCGACGCGTCACTCCTGTGGCTCTTGATCCTTGTTTCCTGTCCTCTGCTTCTCACTGCCCTTAATGTGTGGCCTTTGTGCTGTTGCAGGGGTGGAAATGAAGAAGATCACGGATGCCCACACTCCCTCTGGCCTGACAGTGAACCTGACACTCTACTACATGCTCTCCTGCTCGCCAGCCCCACTGCTCAGCCCCTCCCTTAGCCACAGGGAGCGAGACCAGATGGAGGCAACACTCAGCTACGAAGATCACTGCTTCAGTGGCCACGCCACCATGCACGCCGAGAACCTGTGGCCAGGGCGGCTGGCCTCCATCCAGCAGATCCTGCAGCTCTCTGACCTTTGGAGGCTGACCCTTCAGAAGCGCGGCTGCAAGGGGCTGGTGAGGGCGGGCGCCCCAGGCATCCTGCAGGGCATGGTGCTCAGCTTCGGGGGTCTGCAGTTCACAGAGAACCACCTCCAGTTCCAGGCTGACCCCGACGTGCTGCACAACAGCTACGCGCTGCGCGGCATCCGCTACAAGAACGACCACATCAACCTGGCTGTGCTGGCGGACGCCGAGGGCAAGCCCTGCTTGCACGTGTCCGTAGAGCCCCATGGCCAGCCTGCCAAGGTCTACGCCTGCGAAGCGGGCTGCCTGCAGGACCCCGTGGAGCTGACCTCGGCTCCCGGGGGCCACACCTTCTCAGTCATGGTCACCCAGCCCATCACGCCGCTGCTGTACATCTCCACCGACCTCACACACCTGCAGGACCTGCGGCACACACTGCACCTCAAGGCCATTCTGGCCCACGATGAGCACATGGCCCAGCAGGACCCCGGGCTGCCCTTCCTCTTCTGGTTCAGCGTGGCCTCTCTCATCACCCTCTTCCACCTCTTCCTCTTCAAGCTCATCTACAACGAGTACTGTGGGCCCGGAGCCAAGCCCCTCTTCAGGAGTAAGGTAGGAGGCCTCGGCCGGGCTCTCAGGCCTGCATCTAGGGTGGGGCTGGCCTGGCAAGGCATTGCGGCCCCTGCTGGAGCGGGTCTCTCGAGGCTGACGCCCTCAGCCCGTAGCACCAGAGAGAGCTCAAGTGTGTATCGGAGCACGTGGAGAAGTGGCTTCTAGGAGGAGACCACAGGGAGGGAGAGCTCTGGGAATCCAGGTGTGAATAGATGAATCCCAGGACACCTCTCCCCTCCTTTCTCCTCCCTTTCCTTTCCTTCTCTTCTTGCCTCCCCTCCCCTCCCCTATCTCAGCAGTTAAAAATAACCGCAAGCCGGGTGTGGTGGCCCACACCTGTAGTCCCAGCTATTTTGGAGGCTGAGATGGGAGGATTGCTTGAGTCCAGTAGTTCAAGACCCAGCCTGGGCAACATAGTAAGACTCTGTCACTACTTTTTTTCTTTTTGTTTTCTATTTTTTTAAATAAATTAATTAATTAAAAGTAAAAAATAATTATTAGCCGGGCTCAGTGGCTCAGCCTGTAATCCCGCGCCTTTGGGAGGCTGAGGTGAGTGGATTGCCTGAGCCCGCGGGTTCGAGACCCACCTGGGCAACTTGGCGAGACCTCATCTCTACAATAAATCAAAAATCAGCTGGGCGTGGTAGTGTGCGCCTGTAATTCCGGCTATTTGGAAGGCTGAGGCGGAAGGATCGCCGGAGCCCAGCGGGTCGAAGCTGTGGTGGCTGGGAGCGGCCAGTGCACTCCAGTCTGGGTGACAGAGTGAGAATCCAACTCAAAAAAAAAAAATTGTTTGAAAAAATAAAAATAATTGCACAAACCCGTTGATTGACTTGAAGCCTCTGTCTGAACTGCTGGCAGGAGCCTCACCCTCGCCCTGAGTGCCTGTTCATGGCCTCCAGAGATCAGTCCCTCACTATGGGTCTGAGTCTGCGGTGGTCTGTCGCAGCACAGAACCATTCCCCTCCTGATTCCTGAAACATCCTTGCCCCTGGGCAGCCATGATCCTGGCCACAGTCGCTGCCCACTCTACCACTGGCCTGGCTTCTGTGCCTTCTCCCTTGGGGTTTCTCAGGAGAAAGACCAGAAGGCAGTTGGGAAGGAGGCAATCATTAGCTGTCAGGAAAGAAAGGATTTCCGAAGGGCTGAGCATCTTCCCTTTCTCTCCTCTCCTCTCTCTCATCCCTGCACCCCTACTCTCCATCCCTCCATCCCTTACACCCTATTCCCTCTCCTCTCTCCTCCCTCATCCCTCTATCCCCTACCCCCCTCCTCCTCCCTTATTTCTCCATCCCCTGCCCTCTACCTCCCCAATCCTTCCACCCCTTACCCTGTACTCTCTCTCCTCTTCTCTCTTGTCTTCTCAAACAACAGTGATGTTAAAGAGGTATGTTAGGCTCTTGGTCTGTGCTTCAAACTGGTCAAAGAGCCTGGATCCCAATCAGGAGAAATGCACCATTACATCCTCAGACACCTGCAGCCTCTGGTTTCTAGTTCTAGTTTTCCCAAGGCCAGGACTTGCAAACAGAAGCAGAACTTGACTCAAAGGAGCAGAAGGGTGAGAGGCAGGTTTAAGTTCCTCAAATGGAAAATCAGATCAAAAAGAACTAGGCTGAGTGCAGTGGCTCACGCCTATAATCCCAGCACTTCTGAGGTGGGAGGATTGTTTGACATCAGGAGTTTGAGACCAGTCTGGACAACAGTGAGACCTCATCTCTACCAAAAAAATTTTAAATAGCAAAGTATGGTGGCATGTGGCTATAGTCCCAGTTACTTAGGAGGCTGATGCAAGAGGATTCCTTGAACCCAGGAGTTGGAGATTGCAGTGAGTTACTATCATGCCACTGCATTCCAGCTTGGGCGACAGACCCTGACTCCAAAAAAAAAATGTGGCGACAGAATGTCTCTCTTGAGTTGGCCATCTCCTGACAACTGACCAGAGCAGGTGCTAGATGGGTACCACATGGGCTCTGCTGTTTCTGGGAAGCCGGCGGCTGTTTTCCTGGCTGGCTGGTGGTTTCTCTGCCCTGGCACCTGTGTGCACCCTGAGTTTCCTGCACGATCGGGGAGATGAGCCAAACCACCTTCATGGTGTTGACCCGTGTCCCTCCTTGACTTGGGCTCAAGCTGGGCCACGTCAGAGCAGAGCCCAGACACACCAACGTCAGGCCGGGGAGGGCCAAGCTGGCAAGGCTGGGGCAGAGCCTGACTGGGGGCCACGGGTATCCCCACAGCCATGTCCCTGATGTTTCCGTTGCTGGCCCAGGGTTGGCGGCGGACAGTAACCACTTGTTTTGTGACTTGAACAGGAAGATCCCAGTGTCTGAGTGAGCCAACAGCCCCGCTCTCAGCCACCCTGCGCACAAGACGCCTGGTGCGGACGGTCTGCTGCTGAGAGCGAGGCAGCCCTGGGAAGCACCCGCCCTTTGTGCCTTGTTGGGGGAAGCCAGTGATGCAGAGCGAGTGTGGATGCTCAGAGCTTGGTCAGAAGGATGGACGTCACGTGGGGGAGGGGCCATGGACTTTTGTAAGCTTTCGACTCAATAAAATGAACCTCTGTGGCAAGTACTTGAAATTGAGCTCACTCCTTCCACTTCCCCCTTTCTTCTGTCCCAGGAAATAGACCCTCTTTGGAAGAGACGCTTCCTCATTTAAGGTGTTCTTCTTGAATGAACTTTAATTTATTTTTGTTGAGATTTTGCTGGGTGGCTTTTGCATCCCCTGCAGATAGTGAGTCTCGGCAGTGATGTCCTGTCTCAGCCTGTGGAGGCCTTGCGGTCCCGAGGCTGGGCCTGGATCCCAGGTGGCTGCTCTGCCCATGGAGGGTCGTGGGTCGCTTTGTCACACTTGGGTTTGCATGTCATCTCTTATCATGAGCCTGTGGGGATCCGTGGTTTTGTACTTTGGGACTTCGGGGAGGTGTTTAACTTTCTAGTGGTTGATGATTGTTGGGTTTTAAAATACCAAAGTTTTTTTGTTCTGTTTTTAAATAAATATCTTTCAAACTTCCATGACCAGTTTGTGTGTGGTTGAAACTTCTGGAGACACTCATGAGATCTCCCCCGTCACCATGGACAGTTTCTGAGGCAGAAGCACACCATCTTGCCCATTATAAAAACGGTCATTCTTGGCCTGGCGCTGTGGCTCCTGCCTGTAATCCTAGCACTTTGGGAGGCTGAGGTGGGAGGATCACTTGAGGCTATGAGTTCAATACCAGCCTGGGCAACATAGTAAGAACCCATCTCTACAAAAAATAAGCCTGAGCTGTTGATGCACACTTTATAGTTCCAGCTATTTAAGAGACTGAGACAGGAGGGTTGCTTGAGCCCAGCAGTTCGAGGCTGCAGTGAGGTATGATTGAACCACTGCACTCCAGCCTGGAATACAGATCAAGACCTCATCTCTACCAAAAAAAATTAATAAATAGTACAGTTCTTTTCCCTGCCTTCTCCCTCTCTTTAAGGGAGTCGGCTGAGGAGGGGTGCTGGTGGCCAGCCTTCTGTTCACTGGAGGGTGTGCTGGGTGGCCCAGCTAAGTTGGCTGCTGAGGGCCTCTAGCATGCCCCTGGTTCCCCTCCCTGCTAAGGAGCCCTCCCCCACCTGTCCCACAGAGCCTGGCTGTTCCTGCCCAGGGCCTTCTGCAGGTTGTTCACCAAAGCCAAGATCAGATCCCCCTTTTGAGAGAGAGAAGGGAACTGTCCATTCTGGGGACCAGAAAGGGACCAAGCAGCCCACCGTGGGGGCCTGACCTCAGTGTTTTGGCTGTTTCCTGGGGCTCCCAGACAGTGTTTCCAGCAGTGTGACTTGCCAGGAATCCTGGTTTGTGTGCCATGAGCAAATGTCTGGCCCAGGATAACTGGTTATGAGACAACAGGGCATCGGCCGCTGGTGGCCCTGGTTTCCCTCTCCTCTGGCTTGAGCAGGGCTCAGGCAGGCACCTTCGGCCAAGGACCATAGGTGAGCTTGCCCATTGCAGGGAGTGGGAGCTTCCTTGTGGTGTCCTTTACGGTGTGAAATTAAATTCAAAGCTATTAGACAACGAGATTGGTGCTCCCTGGCTCCCGTCAACTCTGCTTTGAACTTGGAACTGGGCCTGTTGTAGGCTCCCATGAATGTAATGACAAACCCGCGTACCTGGTCCCTGAAGATACTTGCCTACGGAATGATTCGAAATTCAGTCAACTAGTATTTGTAAACTATAGCTCTCATTTAAGTGCTCACTCTACGTGTTAGGTATTTGACATCAACATGACCCTGTGGGAAGGAGGTTGCTGGGGTTAAGACCCCAATTTGAGAGCTGAGAAACCTGGAACAGTGAATAACTGTCCAAGGCCACACAGCCATCAAGTGTCAGGAACACACACTCTGGCTTGATGCAGGGGTCCCCACATGGTGCCGTTTCTCCCCGTGGTGTGCCTCGGATGGCTTCGGCAGGATGGATCTATGTCTGCAGTGCTTCCGATGTCTAGAGGGTCCCCTGGGGTAGGCCATGCACTAGCCCCAGTTCACGTGAGGCCAGATGCATGAAGAGGCTTTGTCAAGTTGTGGCCAGGCGTGGTGGCTCACGCCTGTAATCCCAGCACTTTTGGAGGCCAAGGTGGGAGGATCACTTAAGCCCAGGAGTTCTAGACCATCCTGGGCAACATAGTGAGACACTGTCTCTAGAAAAACAAAAATTTAAAAAGTTGCTTTGCTGGGCACCGTGGCTCAAGCCTGTAATCCCAGCACTTTGGGAAGTTGAGGTAAGAGGATTGCCTGAGACCAGGGATTCGAGACCACCCTGGGAAATTTGGCAAGACCTCTTCTCTATTATAAATCAAAAAATTAATCGGGTGTGGTGGTGCATGCCTGTGGATCCAGCTACTTGGAAGGCTAAGGCGGAAGGAGCACTTGAGCCCAGCAGGTCAAGGCTGTGGTGGCCATGAGCGTGCCACTACACTCCAGCCTGGGCGACAGAGTGAGACTCCAACTCAAAAAAAAAAGTTGCCTTTTTAGGGCCTGAAATCTGGTGTGGAGATTGTAACTGCATATTTTCAGCACTCCCAACAGCCAAAAAGTCGGTTTAACTCTCTGGAGGTCCACCTGCTCCCACCTCTCATGTCCCCTCTCACATCTCCTCAGCCACCTGGGCTCCTGCCACGGCAGCGGCTTTCAGCTCCGCACAGGAACAGGCACAGCTGCGGCTGTCAGCTCCGCACAGCCGTGTGGCCCTCAAGCATGTGTGACCTTGAAGCACATGACGATCACACTGCTGGGGCTACCATCTCACACAGGACTGGGGCCAGTGGGCACGTGCTCTCTTGCCCCCGGAGTGGATAATTCTAAGGCACACGCTATCCGGCTCCTCAGCAGGTGCTATGGTTTGGAGATGGTTTGTCCCCAATGAAACTCATGTGGAGATCTGGACCGCAGCATGGTGGCGTTGGGAGGTGGAACCCAGAGGAAGGTGTTTAGGTCATGGGGACAGAGCCCTCATGAGTGGTTTGGGGCCAGTGTCTCTCCAGAGCGAGTGTTTGCTGTTGTGGGGATGTATTAGTTCCCATGGCAGTGGGTTGTCTAACACATATAAGCACGGTACAAACCTCCAGTGTGCTCTGCATGGTGGGCGTCACCCCGTTTTACAGGTGAGGAAAACAAGGCTCTGAGATAACAAATTGTTAGGCCCAGTCACACAATTGGTCTCCAGGCCTAGTCTGGCTCCAATGCGGGATGCTCCCACAGCTGGCCCCAGTGACAGCAGCCACAGCTTGGAAACAGCCGCTGGCCCATTTGTCCAGAAGTGGCATCTGTTTCTGCCGGGCAGGGGCGTTGTTCCTTTTCCCCCAGGAATCTCCCTGTGATGAGCCAGGTCGGACCTTCGGTGGGCTGGACTCACCTGCGAGCTCCCTGACCTGGTGTAAGGCTCTCAGCCCCGCCAGTGACCCAATCCCCTTTCATCTTTCTGCCTGAAACACAAAGGGGAACAGCATAGGCACAGCCTCGGGGCTGCATCTGCAGGAAAGACAGATAAGAAACTGGACAATTATATCACAGCTAAGCACCCTGGATAGTCAAGGAGGACTTCTTGGAGGAAGGTGAAACCCCCAAGCTGGAATCCTGGGGATGATGGGAGCTAGCCAGGCTAATGCATGCGAGGGACCACCAGACAGCTGGAGTAAACCCAGAGGGGCAAGCACAGGGACACCAGGCAGTGGAGGCGCTTGGGTTGTCTGGAGTGTAGACTCCACGAAGGGAGGAGAGTGGGCTGGAGGGCTGGTGAGGTGGGCGCATGTACCCACATCATTGACCTCTGAGAGCACAGGCTAGGCTCAGGTCTCGCTCATGGCAGTAATATTACAGGCAAGACCCTTCCCAGGGGTGTTTCACTGCTTCTCCCTGGTGACAGTCTCATTTTAGCTGGTCTCCACGTCTTTCCCCAAAGAGGAGAAAGCGGTATCACCCTGTTTTACAAAGTGGAAATGGAGACCCCATGCAGAGGGGCAACTTGCCAGAGGCCCAAGGGAGGCCTCTAATGATGCCGGGTGTGCAGGACAGACCCCATGCTGGTGGCAGGTGGAGCATGGCCCCACTAGCAAGGGAAGGATGACAGCACTGTAAACCCTGCCAGGAGTTACGCGACCACTCGGTGGGTGTCCTGGGAGGTGAACAGGCAAGCTGGAAGAAAGACTGTGGCCTCTCCCAGAAAAAACCATGAGAAGATGTCACTAAACGGCATTGCTGAGGAAGAAGTTGACGTCCAAGAGGACACTGGGCTGGGAGTCCCATCTCCAGCTCTGTCATCATCTCTGTGTGACCTCAAACAAGTGATTAAGCATTTACACTCTATGTTCCCACCTGTAAAATGGGTCCAATAACATCTTCCAACTTCTTAAGATAGTTGAGAAGACCCACTAAATAAGTGACTGTATGAATGTGCTTTCTGCCAACACATGGGGCCACCTGTGCACACCTTGGGAGCAGACACAGGCCAGCGTTTCTAAACCAGGATCTGTGGACAGGATTCACGACTCTGTGACTGGGGACCAGAAAAATGGCTTTACTAATCTGAATCTGAAATTTAGCATATCCTCCTAGTATTGACTTAGGCATTTGTGTCATTGTCACAAATAGAAATCAGAGCTATGTCGGTGATACATGTCAGTTGTTGCAGTTATTGTGAAGTACCAGCCATATTCATCACTGCTTTGATGTTATGGTAGTCATTAGACTTGCCACTAGAGATCAATATTTAATCTATTAATAAAGCACTTGTCACCATATCACAAGTTTTTTTTCAGACTGGCTCTCATACTGCAGCATAGGCTGGAGTGAGGTGGCGTGATCACAGCTTACTGCACCTTCCTACTCCTGGGCTTGAGTGATCCTCCTGCCTCAGTCTCCTGAGTTGCTGGGACTACAGGCATGTGCCACCATGCCCAACTAATTTTATATGTGTTTTTTAGAGACAGGATCTCGCTGTGTTGCCCAGGCTGATATGGTCTCTAACAGTTCTCCCGCTCCGGCCTCCCAAAGTGCTGGGATTATAGGCGTGAGCTACCGTGTCTAGCCCGTTTATAAAATATACTTAAATCTTTTTTATTTTTTTAGTTTTTTTGAGTTGGAGTCGCTCTGTCGCCCAGACTGGAGTGCAGTGGCCGCTCCCGGCCACAGCAGCCTTGACCTGCTGGGCTCCGGCGATCCTTCCGCCTCAGCCTTTCGAGTAGCCAGAATTACAGGCATGTGCTACCACGCCTAGCTGATTTTTTGATTTATTGTAGAGATGAGGACTCGCCAAGTTGCCCAGGCGGGTCTCGAACCCGCGGGCTCAGGCAATCCACTTACCTCAGCCTCCCAAAGCGCGGGATTACAGGCTGAGCCACCGAGCCCAGCTTAAATCTTTTTTTAAATGTTAGATTGTCTTTAGCAAACACAAAAGTAGACTTAATAGTACAAAGAAACACCATGTGCCCTTCACCCTGTCTGCCATAAATCCTGTGGCTATTCACACCCCTGTCCACTTCTTCCCACTCACA